CTTCTTTGAAGCAGTTTCTTCCTGTGCTGGTGGAGGAGCGAGAGAGCTACTGAGACAGCTGACCCAGAGAGAAGGACAGGCTTCGGTTGCTTCCTCCCTCCCCTTCTTTCATTTGTGTCCTTGATCCCCGATCCCAGCAGCATTCACCGAAGGTGAAGAAAGCCGCCATTTTTTTAAAAAAAAATTTCTTTGCGGCCCGGTAGAGAGTGCTCCACGGCCCGGTACCGGTCCGCGGCCCGGTGGTTGAGGACCCCTGGTGTGGGGTACATCAGGCATAGGAAACATTGCCGATAGAAATCTGTTTTCTTCTTTTCTATCCTCACACAGAAGAACTCTCTAGGGAGATGATACTAAAATAAGGCAATGCCTTCCAACCAGGGATCCACCTCCTCGGGTATCTGTCCAGGCTTCCATGAAATTCAGTGCTCTATTGGGCAACTCGTGGCCATCTGACAGTGTTTCTGTGCTCAGCCAAGTCAGGCAGAGAGGCAGCTCCATGGCTGCTCACCAAATCCTGACCTCTTTGCAGTCCCCTTATTTTAATAAAACGTTTCTTCACAATGAAGTAGCTACCATCGCAAGGCATCATCATTTTGCCAAGGCCAGTTACCATATTTTTAGGATATAAGACGCACTGGGCCATAAGATGCACCTAGGTTTAGAGGAGGAAAACAAGAAAAAAAAAAGCTTTTTGCCTCTGCACATCCCATTCCCCCCCCCCCACATCCAGAAACACTCTGCAGACCAAAAACAAGCCCGTTTTTGGCATTCAAAGACCTCCACAGGTCCAGTTTTTGCCCTCCCTGACATGCAGAAGCACTCTCAAAAATGAGTCTGTTTTTGGCCAGCAGAATGCTTCTTGATGGACAGAATGCTTCTTTGGAGGTCAAAAATAGGACGCACTGAGAGTTCGGGAGCCCAAAATGCCCGTATTCGCTCTCTATAAGACGCACAGACATTTCCACCCATTTGGGGGGGGGTGCGTCTTATAGTCTGAAAAATATGGTAATTTCCCCCCATAGATCCTGCCCCAATAAGACCAAAAAAGCCAGCTGGAGTCCCAAGTTAATGTGATTGAAGTCAGCAAGTCAAGCTGCCCATTGACACCTTTCCTTTGCAAGCACTCCAGGGCAGAGACTCCAGCAGTGCACAACTCAGAATGTCAAATGGAGCCAAGAAGGCTCTCCTTTGAGTTGCTTCAGATTGAAGAATATTTGGGAGTAGATATACAAGAGATTTCATGGATCTTTCCATGATAGACCCCCAATCATACCCGTGTAAAACAAACATTTGGACAGAACAGAGGACAAGGGAACTGCCTCAGCACTCCAGACAGGCACCTCAGGCAAGAGGAACCTTGCTGACATCCTATTATTTACCACTTCCCCCTTCCGGTACCTATATTGGATTAGTGATGCCTACCCCCATAACTTACTTTTCCTCTTGTGCACCTTCTTTTCCTCTTGTGGATCCTCTTCCATCAAAATATCTAGGAATAAAAGTCAGGACAAGTGGACGTTTTTGTTTGTTTGAAATGTTTTACTACTAATCCAAGTAGCTTCTTCAGTCTGACCAAGTTAGCCTATTCATATTAGGTAAAAAAATGAAACCATCCTGGAGCACATATATGTGGTTCCCTTAACCAACCTGCTCAGACTGAACAAGCTAGATATTCTTTTGTGCAGACATGATACTTCTGCTGTTAAAAATATTACCACATATGGCATCACATTTTGGTTAAATTTCTCCTTTTAATTTATTTTCAAATTAATAGAAATATTACAAGTAACTTTGTGTATTAGTTGGAATTCAGGCAGGAGGTGTCAGTTTTCTGTATTACCAAAATATATGGTTCTATGTTTCATTTGACACATGGTTGTTTTCACTCTAGAAGCAGCACAAACTGCAGAATCTATTTTAACAAGTGAAGAACCGTCCTCTGAACCTGAAACTCATAAAGACATGGAAATAAAAAGTACTGGAGACCAAAGTGAAATGATTCCCAGCATAAAAATGACTGTGTCATCTCCAGCAGTTTGTAACTTTCTTGAAGAGGAAACTACTTCAGAAAACATTGGTAGTGAAAAAGTTCAAGAATCTGAAGAATAAACAGTACTTTTTAAAAGAATGTCATCTGGATCACAGTCTAGACTGGATTTCACAATATGCTAAGTGCTCAATGACATACTGTATTTTAGCAAATATCAATTTTTATATCAAGTATAACTCATAGAATTGTAGATTGTAATAAAGAGCTTAAATAGCTGATTGAAATTAGAATAACATAAACCCATCTGTTTTTGTTCCTGTATACCTTGATATGTTTTTTAAAAACAGTTTAAAATAGATTCATGTTGCAGGCCAAAAAAGCCTTCTATTTAATTCAAGCCACTTTACTCAAGTTATTACCATAATGATATCTGAAATATAAAAACAAGTAGTCTTCGACTTACTACTGGTTGCTTAGTGACTATTTGAAGTTATGGTGGACCTTCCCCCAAAGTTATTTAAAATCCTGTTTCAAAGTTACGTCTGTTGCAGGACCTCCATGGTCATTTGTTCTTATGACCAACCACAGGGACACTGCAGCAACACCTTGGTCGATCTCCCCTGCACCTGGGCTCTGCATCCCTTGGGCCTGCTTCCCACCCATAGGGCTCCACAACCACCTCCTTACCTTTAACAAATATATGATTAGGAAAAGAGGATAAGTCACTCTGTTCCTGGACCTTATGATCAGTTATGGCTGCAATCCCATAACTGGTCCTCCATTTTAGGAAAGCAACCTATTGAATTGTGGCTGCTCAGAAAATGGCATCCACTTCCAGGATTGCACCACGCAGTCCAGGAATGAGGACCCTGTCATTTCCTAATGCTAGCTCCAAAGCTTGAAATGTAAATGCACAATGAGTGATGCAGTGTGAGGAGGGTGTAGGTCTGTTGGGGTGGAAATAAGTAAAGGCCTTCAAGGCCTTTGTCTTTTTTGGATTTTTTTTTGTATTTTAACTTTGTCTTAAACAAAATAAATTTATACAAAAGAGATCTCTAGCCATAACGGACAGTCTCTTATGGTCATCAGTCATGGATTACCTGTACATTAAAATTCCTAGTTTTCATTTAGTATGCTATTTGCCTGTTTCTGTTAATATTGCTAATCTATATTGGTTTAATTAACTTTAATTCTAAATTTTCAGTTATAGAGCTTTTTTCAAAACAAGTTAAGCATAATGTTCGCTGAAATATTAACAAATAACGACTATATTTACGTATTAGTGATGCTTTAACAATATAATCAAATCTTTGAACAATACGTTATCATGTATAATCTGTAATAAGAGAGGCATGTAAAACCTTGAAGTCAGATTTACAGGGGGAAGAGCTGAATTCCACAAAGTTTCTTGAACTATATTTAGTTATATCCCAAATACTCAGATTGTACTTTAGGAAAAGTAGAAGCACAGACTAATGTTAAAAGTATTCACAACTGTCAATGTGTTGTCAATTTCTCTCTTTGTGATTGGAATGAAAGTACAAATTATATAGGACAGCTTTTTATTTAAAAAGAACAAAATTTAAATATACTACTAGTTATCTAAAGTTTATCTGTTCGCTGCAGTACTTATGATTTCAGTGAGATACATGCTTTATGGTGGGGGAAGAATTACTCATTTATTACAACTGTGACTCTAATAAATTCATATATAACATTTTTTTTACCTGTGCAATAAATTACAGGTAATCCTCACTTAACCACTCATTCAGTGACTGCTCAAAGTTACAATGGTGCTGAACAAATGATATTTGTAACCATTGCAATGCCGTCATAGACATTTGACCAAAACTCAGGTAATTGGCAGCCTGCTCATTTAGGACCACTTTAACTCCTTTCCACCTGTCTATCTCCTACCATCTTTGCCATCAAGACCCCTGCCATTTGCATTCCACTGTTCCCAGCTAACCTTCACTGGCTTCTTCCTCCTGATGCTGTTGGCAAGGCATGCCTACCCCAACCTTTCATAAGATGGCTGCAGGCTAGTGAAGCTGTCTTCCCAAAGCCTTGCAGTTTGAGGAAGAAGGTGTCAGGAAGGGTCAGTCCAGGCACACCTTGTCAGCAATGGGACAAAGACAGTAAGAGTCAGTAGGGGTATTTGAGTACAAGGCAGTGGAGGTCAAGGCAAAGTGCAGAGAAATCAAAGGGCAGAAATTGGATAGATGGAGAGCTGAAGAGGAGGCAAGCATGGCAGGACAGGAGAAATATGAATCTTTGCCTATTCACCACCACTGGGACTACTAAAACTGCTATTGATAAAGCAGGGCAGTCATGTGAAATTTTACCTGATGACTGCATTGCTTAGCAATAAAAATTCCATTCGAAATTAAAGGGGATTAAACAAGGACTATCTATATACCAAGGGTGTCAAACTCAAGGCCTGCAAGCTAGATCCAGCCTGCGATGAGGCCAAATCTGGCCTTCGTTGCCATTATGGAAACTAAAGGTCCACCTATATCACTTTGGCCCAGCCTATGCCATCCCGGCATGCACACGCGTGCATAGGCACAGTTCTCTCTCACCACCTACAGAGCAACTGAAGTACAGTAAAAAAAAAAAAAAAAAGTTCAGGCCTTCCAACTTCGCGAGATTTTATTTGGGGGGGAGGTGAGAAGTTGGAAGGTCTGAACTATATTTTTAACTAGTCCCACAGACTAATAGCTCTGCATATGGCAGCAGCGAAAGGAACTGGAAAGGTATAGTGAAAGTATGTGGCTGCCCTGGGTGGCGGTGGGGGGAGGGTGAGGGTTCGGCCTGGCTGAAGGGACCTCAGGTAAGCTGGGGTGGGGCAACTCTGCACCCCCTGCCTTGCTTTGCCTTCCATCCACTCACTCCCACCTCGCTTTATTCTCCGCCACTTCTTGCTCACTATCATAATCTAGCAAGATGCTGAGCAACACGGTGCAATCACCACAAAGCGAGGAAGTGGGTGGAGTACGAAGCAAGGTGGGTGCAGAGCTGCCCCCCCATGCCCTGCACCCGCTTACCTGAGCATTCTGCCAGCCAGGCACTGAAGCGCTGCAACTGCCACTGCAATGAGACGGAGGGAGAGATGAGGGGGGCTCCAAATTCTCTGTATGAGAGAACGTGCAATCACTGCTTCAATCAGGGCATTCAAGTGCTGGCAGTGGGGGGTAGGGGCAGGAGCCACCTGAGCAGCTTTTTTCTTTGTCCTCACTAAAGCAGTGGCAGGCTCTGCGGGACAGCAGGGCCTCTCATTTTCCCCCCAGCACAGCGAACTCCAGCTTCAGTCAGGGCGTTTAAGCTGCTGGTGGATGCAATGATTTCTCCAATCAGCCAGCCAGCACTGCCAGATCTGCTGCTGGATTGGCCAGCCAGTGCAAAGCCTTCTCTTCGTCATCGAAGAGAAGCAGCAACAGCCTCCGCAGCACAAGGTCTCATTCCTGCCTCGATGCAGTGAACTCCAGCAGGTGTGATGCGGGTGTGAAGGGCCTGGCCCTGCAGTGCTTTCTCAGTTGAAGGTTTCATTCATCCTTCAAACAGTAAGGCTGGCCCACATAAGCGAGTAGCACACCAGGACCACAGATGGTATTGGTTCCTATACCCAGCCAATTCTGATTCTACGGCCAGCCTTACTGTTCCAGAGGAGCTCTGATCAAATTGCATCAAAGAAGGAGGTGGGTGGCTAAGTGACGGGCAGGAAGCCCTGCCATGCCCAGCAATAGAAGGAGAAGAGACGGCAAGAGGAGCTCCATTGCACCCCAATGAAAAGCAGCAGCAGCCCAGCCACTTCCCTTCCCTGCAAAGAAGGCAGGCTGGGTCGCAGGGACCATGTGGAAAGGCAGGCAAGCGGGCTGGGCCGTGGTGACTGCATGGGAGGCAGCTGGGCGAGAAGTGAAGGAAGACTCACTAGGCAGAGATCAGCTGGGCCACATGGTCAAGGCAAGCGAGGGAACCAAACAGGAGCAGCTATGCATCTGGCATGACTCTAGGCAGGCGGAGTGAGATAAAGAATGACTGGGAGGGGTGGGAGCCAGTGGTGCAATTAGCCGGTTCTTTGAACTGTGCAAAATCTTAACAACTGATTTGACTGAACCAGTCCGAACCGGCTGAATCCCACCTCTGGATGACAGGCATGTAAGGAGCAGACCCAAGTGGTGCGGTGACAGTGGGGGGAAAGGAGGGAATGAGACGAGGCACTACAGCAGCTATAACTTTGAAGCAGGGTCAGGTGTAAGTTTTGGGGATTGTTGTAACGTCCAACAGCTGTTAAGTAACTTGTAGCTTGAAGAACTATCTTTACAAACCATAAGAAAATCTTGTTAACAATACTTTCTCCCCATTTCCTATACATTTTTAAGAATAAATCAGGAAGACAACTTTAAAATTCCCTTATGGGAAAAAATTAGAAAACTCAAAACATTGTTGCATCTACTTTTATTATCTATATTAATTTGCAGCATTTTTCCAAACTAGCAAATAATACTATTTCTCTCATTTGTGTATGAAATGCAAAATATTGAACTTGGGAAGTCTGTACTAGCAATGTACACAAAACAGAAATATTTTATAACAAATCCAAAATCAGGACAAGTTGAATTGTTCTGGACTAGCTATTTTTACAGAATAAGTAAAGCAGTCCCTTAAACAGTTCAGTATTCTAACTGGTTCCCAAATTTTTTATAATCCATACAAAACTTTGTCAGATTGAATATTTGCTTCCATAAGTTAACATTGTAACAGCAGAATTTTTTCATCTAAAACATACCAGTCTATTAGAATTTGTCAGACTGCTTACTTGCTACTCAACTGGAATACCTAATAGATGTCATTTTAAATTAGCAAAAGTATCTATGATAAAGACTGCATCTAAAATGATTGTAACAGAAAATCATAGTTCAGCCTTCAACTATCTGTTAAATAGAATTTACTTAGTCTTTGTTACAAAGAAAACAATATGATATTGGTTAGGTTGGCTAGCTGTGACTAATTTATGGCAAATATTTAGGGCCATCCAGAAATTGCTCACTGGTGGATATATTAGCTGGGATAGCTGGCCCTGGAGTTCAGTAATGTTCATTGAGCCATACATACCAGACTTTTCAAAAATTAATGCAGATGATTTTTTAGCTTATTGCATTGTTTACAACTTATGAATGCAATTGAAATTTGAACTATATTTAAACTCACTTCAACACTCTTATAAATGAAGATATTAACACTTATTTTAAATATTATGATGAAGCCTTATGGGGTGAAATAATTAATCTTATGCAGACCATTTCTCCTACATGTTCACAGTATTTCTTAACATAGAAGGCAATAAGGACTAAGTCTTTTCAATAGTGATCTCATATCTTTGAAGATGTTTCAAGCATTATAATTGTAATATATTCCTTAGGTCCTATTGTTGGATGGCAAAAATTGGTATTGAAACCTATATTACTTCAAAATATTCTAATCCTTTTCAAAAATACTTTGAAATTCCAAGACTGATCTATTTCAGGAATGTAACATTATTGCCCTGGCCACTGAATTCTTGAATCACACTTATTTTAAAAAATGATCTACATTCAGTGTTAAAACAACAAAACAATATTTTCCCTCTTAAAATATCTTCAATTGATACTTGGAATGTAATAGGAATGCAATGCAAAAGAAGCTCTTAAAAGAGTCTTCTGTAAGAAGCAGGCTCTTATCTGAATCTAATGGTCAGTTTTTCTGGCCTTTTCTCTGGATTGCTGCCAAGGCGTTTTTCTTCACTGGTGGCTATTTTCCCCCAATCCACAGTTGAAAATTCCATCATGCCACGCTTCATTGCCCGCACAAAGACAGCATCTTCTGGACTTGCAAATGGGATTCTTTAAGAGTAATAAATGACAATATTCTTATACAACCAATGGTTAAATAGGCTTTTGCATAGAATTTAAGCATATTCTTAAAATAATCACAAAAATGTACTACCATTTTTAAATTAAGGCTCCCCTTAAATTTTTCCTCTGTAATCTCAAAAAATGCTCCAAACTCACAATCAAATTCTGCTCAAATCTCAAGAATTGCTCCAAGCCCAAAACTGAATTCTGCTTTGCCCAAAATAATTATGTTTCATCAGTGTTTCTTTTTGACTTTGAGCCAATGCCTGGACAACTTTCCTTGGCAACATTTTTAGAAGTGGTTTTTCCATTGCTTTTGTCCTTGATCTAGGGAGAGTGAGAACTCAGGTTTCCCCATTTCTAGTTACTGCTTTAATCACTAGACCAAACTGGTTCTCAGTATATTTTGTACCAAGTAATTATGCAAATGGTATGCAAATTAAAGAGGAAAATATTGATGATATGCAAGTCAAACAGTACAATATATTCATACCAATTATACCTTCCATTGAATGTTCTTTTGCAAATCATTTAAAATTCAAGATGGGTGAA